TCCTCTCACACCTCAGGCCTGTGTTTTGTTTCTGTTGGAACAATCACTGTCTGCTCTGAGTTAGTGTCTCTGGGTGAACCTGCATCATTCTCTGAGGCTTAAATTAATTATCTATTTTTGGCTGCATTGGGTCTTCGTTGCAGTGCTCAGGCTTCTCATTGTGCTGGCTTCTCTTGTTGCAGAGCATGGGCTCTAGGCACATGGGCTTCAGTAGTTGTGGCACGTGGGCTCAGTAGTTGTGGGTCACGGGCTCTAGAGCACAGGCTCAGTAGTTGTGGCACACGGGCTTTGTTGCTCTGCGGCATGTGGGATCTTCCCGGACCAGGGCTCGAACTCGTGTCTCCTGCATCGGCAGGCGGATTCTCAAACACTGCGCCAGCAGGGAAGCCCTCTGAGGCGTTTTAAATGTCAGGGGAGAGAGAAAAGGAAAGAGAAGTCTGTCCCCTAGGAGCAGGGTGGGGATACTGACTGCCCCAGCACCCGCCTAGATGCTTGGGGTGTAGATGGTACTGAGTGAATGTGTGTTGACAGACTGACTGAAGGGATGCGGTGGGGAGAGGTGGGTGTGGTTTGCGTGCCCCAATCAGCGAGGATCTCTTCCTACCACCCTCCCCCATCTACCCTGGGGCTACAAGACATACATTTCTGTGTTCATTTCTTTATATTTGAACAGTGGTAGTGAGTTCCAAGGGATTCATTTTTCCACGATCCTCTAGATATTTATCAAGCACTGATAGATTTTGCCTTATCTTCTGGGAAAAAGCTTCTTTAGAAATCAGGCTCAAACAAGAGAAGGGAACCTTCTCTTAAAGCATTTGATCCACAGAATTCTGATTCCCAGGTTATGATCAAGACCTCACCTCCTTCTGGTCCTAAGGTTCCAAACATCAGACAAAAGAGATTCATTCTGGAGACCAAGAAATGTGGCTTTTAAAGCCCCGATGATGAGTGGTGTTTTACTCCGTTCTTATGTATTCTGGGAGCCTGTAGGAGGGATTTTAACAAGTCCTTTCGGGGTCCTTTTCCATCGAATCCGGGGCGTCTTTCAGGTCCCTCTCCTCCCCCCCACTTCCCGCCTCCCAAGCACACATTCTTTGTATGGAAACTGGTTTTTCTGCCCCTCTCTCTGTAAAATAGCAGCAGCCGGAGGAAGGCGGTTCCGCACTCTGGGGACTGTGTAATGTTTCAGCATAAAAGCACCATGTTCTCACATTTCAGATGTCTGGAGTCACACCAGAGGCAGGGCAAACTTGCCCATTTTCAGTTACGCTGTAAAGTGTGGGCTTTGCAAGATAGGATTCTGTGAGCTGGGCATGTTACGGTGAAGGACCTCTGTTAAGGCGTCTTCTTCAGACTGGCACAGAAAACGCACCGGGGCAGAGAGGGTGTAAGCGCTGTGGGTGGGGAGATGATTTGTGCTGTAATAAATCCCCATTCTAAGGAGGGTGAATGCTGGCACATCCTCACCCTCAAACAGCCAGGGAGCAAAATAAACCCCTTGGAAGAAAAAGGAACCTGGTACAAAGTTGCCTGAAACGGAGTTTAAATAATAGAAAATGTGTCAATGTGTTAGAGAGAGAAAGAGAGTGAGGAAACAGTAACAAAGCAGCCAGGAAGGGAAACTAAAGGAAGCCTATGGAACACACTGTTTGCATCCTGTAAAGTTAGAAAGACTTGAAAGAGAGCTCCTAAACTTAGCCTTCAACTCTCAGATGGGGGAAACATACATTTTAGTATTAGGTATAGGTAATTAGACTGTGAATAAAGCAAGTCACATGATGACTCATTAGATTCAAGGAAGAGATAGCTGGGGATGCAACCAGACTCTTGAGCAGCTTGACTTTTGAAATGAGTTCTGAAACTGCTTTGAAGGAATTTAATAGCCACCCCGGAGAACCACGCATGTTAAAAAATTGTATTGCCTCATTGGACCTAAACCTTGGTTAATAACTTGACTTTGATTTGTCTTTGGTGGTTTCCAAAATCAAATTCAAGACCCCACCTGCAGGACCTGAAGAGAAGGTGATCAAAAGTATTAACTGAATGAGTGGAAACATCCACCAAGAAAACGATTTCCGAAATCGAGGCAATGCTAGAAGAGAAATTCAAAACAGGTTTTCAGTAACAAGAAATCACTGTTGTAAGTGCAGTGGCTCCAGGTCACCAGCTTCTGGAGGGAACTTCTCTGCATACGACCCACAGCACAAGGTTTACACATGATAGATACTCAGTAAGGTCATTTTTGAAAACCGTGTTCCTCTTGTAGCTACATCTTCCATAGCTCACATGCTCATGGGATGGACCCCCCAAAGTCAAACTGTTGCCATAAAATTATATAGAGGAAGAGCTAAACCCCGCATATACTCACTTCTAACTCTGTCATTACTCTCTTGGTATCTATTTTGTTGTACATAGACATTGCAGCTTAGACATAAATATTATTTTGATGAATCTTGTGAAAATCAGTCTAGAGAAAGTGATCTTGTGTGGCACGAAATAGAATCAGAGAAGAGTAAGGTCAAAATATATGCCTTTTTCCTACTCTGAAGCTGTTATCTGATTATACATTTAGTGGAAGGGCAACGTCAGGAAATATCTCGGCAGATAGCCTAGAAACTAACAAGTCGCATGATTTCATGCAGGAAAACAATTATTTTGCTCTTAAGAGTTTAGGATCAGAAAATACTAAGTTTAACTTGTTTTGCTGTCAGTTGAGCGTGTAAACTTGGGAAAGTCGATCTCTAAACCTCATTTTTCTCGTCTCTGTACAATGGGGAAAATAAAGCCAACCACACTAGT